ATGATCTGTACGGCAAAGTTAGGTTTGGAAACGGTATCATTTCCTTTTTGGCGGGCATGCATAACACGGCATAACACTGAAGCCTCGCTGCGGGGAAACTTTTACGCTTTTCCGAGTTTGTTCTAATCTGTCAAAATGACGGACTGCTTTCAGATTTTTTTGTCATTGTTGAAAAAAACCGTCATAAATATTTGGTTAACGCGACCTCTGCTACGGACCCATAATCAGCACTTTAGTAACAGGGCTGCAATAGAGGGATATGAGGCTAGAATGGGCAGGGCCGCCGCTCGCGGACAGACAAGGCAGGCAGCTGCTTGTGGCCCCGGACCAGAAGGGGGCCCCCAAAGAAGGTAGATTAAGAAGGTCCACAGCAACGACAACATGAAACACCCTTTAATTTACTGCAACGACATGTCGGGAAACCCCCTCAAGGCGGCCCCATGCACAGCACGCCGTAAAATGCTGCTTCTTATCTTAAGTTTCGTTGCCTTGCTCGGCTCCGGGGGGGGGGAATGTTTGCCTCGGGGCCCCACAGACTCTGCACTGAGAATGGGTGATCTGTCTTTTGAGCAAAACACTTCATAGACATGTTTGTATATATCTGAGGTCTATAATATAGTGATGAAAAATAGCATGACAGGAGACCTTTTAAATGTGTCCTGTGGCATGGGGTATTTATATTGCACATAGTGGTGGTGTGGAAGTTCTCAGTTCCCGTAATGGTACTGCAACGCAACAGTTCCCCAAGTTGGGATCAATAAATACTTCTCATCTTATCTCATGTTATCTTTCACCTTGAGCTGGATGCCGGGCTCGGCCACGGCTCTGAACGGCGTCGCCTGCCAGTACGTCTGCTCCGTCTGCTTCCACATCACCACGTAGAACGAGGAGGAGTCCTGGTAGCCGAAGATGAAGCCGGCGTAGTCGTCGTCGGTCACCGTGTTCACGTGGAAGGTTCCCTCGAAGTCCACGCCGCTGAACGCAGTGTAACCTGACGACAGGAAGTGGAATCAGTTTAGTGTTTGCGTTGAGCCGTTGTGATTTCAGTGACGAATGGGAGGATATACTGTATGTCTTACCAACAGCAAGTCCTGGGTCACTGTTCATGGTCTGCACGATCTCCATTCCCTGGGTGAGGAAAAGAGAGTTGTTGATGAGAAAGGCTTAGCAAACTGCAACTTATATCTTAGGTTTATAGCAATTTATTTGACATGCATTGCACATTTCATTTTTAGCGATAGATTAAAGCTCAATTTAGACGAGCATGTTCTGTAGGTTGAAAACGGAAGTAGCACGGAACTGCTTGTTTTCAGCGGGAAGTCAGAGATAGCGTTTTGTATTAATGCAGTTTGCTTGAATTCATTGCTCTTCAGCTCTGAAATCTGTAATAACTGATTATTTTTGGGCAACTGTTGGCAGCAAAACTAGCTTTAAATAAACCATTGCCATATACCTTTCAATTACCTTTCCATTTACAAGTTACAGTATATAACAACATTTGTATTTACTTAGTCATTTTTATGGCCCTTAATTAAGTTACTGCACTCTCTTTTAGCTCCGTTTTAGTTCTCCACAAACGCCTGATTTGAATATCTGTCAAAATAGTGGCTTTTCTTTAATTTTCTCCACTGTGTTGAAACCATCTCTAACCATCTTCTGTTGGCTGCCGAGCAGGTAGTGCACAACGGGAGAGATTCTTAGCTAAAAAACAATCACTTTAAGAGCGACGAGAGAGAAGCAAAAGGGCTATTGCGTGATGGACGGATGAACAATGATCCAAAACTAATTCAAGTAATTATTCTCCATAGGTTCATTACTACAAAAAAAGCCTCTCATTGGCTGTTTCTTCTATCTATTGCCATGCTTATCTGTATTATTGTGTTGCATTGTTGGAGAAGCCTGTGACTTAAGATTTTCAACAACATAATCAGGGGTGCACATCACTTTCTCAGTGAGGTACTCAGGTGAGTACCTGGAGTCAGTGTTTGGTACTCCAACTTCTGGCTCCACTCAAAGTTATTTGATGAAGCCCTCTGTATCGCGAATGTCAACGGGGGGGGCTAGTGGAGTACTTCGTGACCACAGGTGAACGTTGTGATCAGCTGTTTTAGCGAGGTTCAGCCGGTTGGCGTAGTTTTGGCACAATTCCGTTGTACAGACCGACGTTAACAGCAGCCCCGTCTGTGCACACGGAGACCGACTCTGTCCGGTGATCTAACCGCCTTCTGGAAAAGCTTCACAAGTACGTCGGTACGCAAATGCGCTTTGTGACACAAGTGACGGTACGCATTTCAGATTGTTGCCGCGCATGCGTAC